TTCTTATTCATTTATTTATCTATTCAATTCTCACTACAAACGTGAATCCAACCTTCGGCTTCCTAAAGCATGATATTTAATTTGTCATTCCCAGTTCCTATGTCCTGCCAGAATTATTCTGTGAAACTTCCAGCCAGCAGGATGGCAACAGAAGTACTACCATATATATCTATATATATATTTCTACTATATAAATAATATATCTGTAAGTACTAATATATATACTAACATGTATTCCAAAATTTCTTACCTGATATAAAGTCGACTTGGCATCAAACATGAAAATAACTGATTTATCATTGCAGAATGATAAAGCTGTTGGGTTTTAAACTGAATTTTAAATGAAAAGTACAAGTTTATCTTGAGTTTAATCAAAAGATACATGTTGGTCATGGGATGCCATTGGGGCAGCAGCTCTGGCTTTCGTTTCAGCTGATTTCTTAACCCATCTCAGGGGGAGGTTTGTCATCTGGACTCACTCATGGCACCATGTGAGCTCCTCCTGTGGGTGTTCATTTCACCCCAGACATTATTTCCAGTTGCTTTCTTCTCTCCACGGATCACAACTAACTCAGAACAGATTCTTAACATCCAGAGAGCTCCAGTCAGGTGTCAGCACTCATAGCCACTCTTCCTGGCGTTAATTCAGATTTACAGGTGCATTTTGTACTTATGTACATATGTATGATGCACACAGAGCTGTGGAAAATGTGATTTCCTTCTCATCCTGCCCAGGGGGGTTATCCAGGTGAGGTTCAAACGCTCTTTGAAGGGTTCTTGCCACAGGCAAAGCTCTTCCCCTCCAAAGTGTGGCAGCTCAGCACAAAAGCGTGGTCAGTTGTCAAGGGGAAAGAGCTCCATTTCTGGGATGTGAAAGAGCAAACAGAAAGAATTAATCAATATTTCAGAAGTTTTCAATGGGAACAGATGTGCTGATGAATTTGAATGGATGTTGCTGTGAATTTCTTCCCAGCAGTTTTGCTCGTGGTTGGTTTTGGTGCTCGGTCCTGTGCTGTGCTGATGTCCATTGAAACGCTCTTGAAGTGTCTGGAGGAAGGGAATATTGACTCAGGCAGAATGTAGAAAAAGGTTTTGTGCTTTTCCAGCTTCTTAGATGTGTTTTTTGTGGAAATAATCGCCCCATTATTAATTCATAACTTGCTTCTTTCTGCAACCCATGGAAATAATAGATAAATATTAGCCAGAAGTCAAATAGCCTTGTGTGGTGCACAGACTTTTTCCTAGAGTTCCATTGTTCTAATTTTAAATGTTCTTTCTTTTGTATCATTTTATCCTATTAAAATTTGCTGTCCTAAAATGCCATTTTAAAAGGATTTGACAACAAAAGAAATAGGAGATGCACTGTGTTTAAATCCGTGCTGAGACATGTTTTGCTCTCATGTTAATGCAGGATTTAATTTCACATGCTTCACTTTATGCCAAGTCAGAGCAAATAAATATCTTGTTCTGTTATAATCTGTCCTGGGCCTTTTGTTCCTAATGGATCAAAATTCCTCATTTTAAGGCAAAAGGAAAAAAAAATAAAAGGTGTGAGGGGGGAAACAGAAGAATTTTATTCAAAGAATATGAGCATCTTTCAAGGGAACAGCACAGACATAATAATAAAAAAAAAAAATAAAGGAAAAAGAAAGAAAAACCTACATTTGGGAGAGACAAAAATGCATTTAAAGAGGCTTTACCTGCTGTACTTTGGATATCACAAATGACTGAGATTGCCAGAAGAGGAGCAGCTCAAATCTTGCACACTTCATCTTCCTCATAACATGAAAATGAATAAATGATTTTGCGGCTGTTGATTTCAAAGTTCTGTTTTTCCCACTTCACTCTGATTTATCTGAGAGCATTTTAAGGAAATAGAACAGTTAATTGTTAAAAATTAACTCTCATTCACAAATAAATAGAAAGAAAACATAAAATTCTTTGAATTAAGACCTTTATGAAAGATATAAGGCAGCATAATTAATTTACCTATAAGTTAATTAGCAGAGTGATTGGTCTCTGATAGGGTAAACTGTGAATCTGGAAACCCATATCCTATCATTTAAGCCATTAATTATTTTCAGGTAAAATTGCTATTCTTGGTACGTTGAAAACATGAAGTTAAAAATATTAATATGAAAATAAATGCTTTCATGTGCAAGTTCTCTGCAGCATTTCACACTTAAAATCTTTATTTAGCATTTCACACTTAAAATCTTTATTTTTAGACCAGATTGAAATGCCACAAAAGAGGCAGCCCTGGTTTGCTCAGTTTCCATTCCCATATAAACCTTCATTACTGAAATGCTACAAAATTAATGACAAATTAGGGTGGTTTTTTTTCAGTTTGACTTAAAATCATAGAAAAATCAGCAAATCAGGAAGATGTGAGGAAATAATTTTTGTCCTTCCAGGTGATTTTGAGATTAATGTTAGTAGCCATAATCAGTTCTTCAGGATTATTTCTCATAATGAAACTCTAACCAATAACCTGCTGGATGATATTATTAAAAATATTATTCAAAATTATAATTACTAATTACACTATTGTTAAATCTTTAATAATTTTAGGCTCAGTGTGCAATGCCATAACTCACTATGGGACTGGATTTGTTTTGGGTTCTATATTTTGCATGCAGTATAAAAAGTGACAAGTTTCATAGGTGCATTTTCAATATTCAAGGGAAAAATCCAAACAAACAAGGAAATAAAATTAGGTTGAATGTGCAAAGTAAGTTTGTTTTGACATGCAATATTGAAGCTCTTTGTTATTACTCTGAATGAAAATGGTAATTTGATCATTTACTGAGGAAATTATAATTTTTAGATTTTGCAGAAAATATCCCGCGTATTTTACAAAACCCATAATATTGTTTTCTGAGCATTTGTTGCTTCTCCTCGAAATTACACTTTTGAAATGAGTTATTGTCTTGTTTTGATGAAAGTAGAACATTTGGTTTCCTTCTTCTCGAGGCATTCTTTGAATGCTCTGCCAGTTTTGCATAGTTACACTGAAATATTGTTGATATATTTAATGTTCTCTTCTGACATTTCAGAAAACACTCTGAATATTTTCATCATGGAAGGGTTTTTTGTGCCTATTTGAACATTTTGCACCAACACCAAATTAAAATATCTGTGAGATTTTGCAGATCATCCCCTTCCTTCCTATTTCTACACAAGGAAGCTTTGCCTTCTCGAGCATCTCTGCTTCCTGGACACATCTGGGGGGATAATTTACATGTGCAACCTCAAACTGATTAATATTTAGGCAGAGAATTTGGTTTCCAACCTCTCTTGTGCGAGAAAGAACAGTTCATACTTCCTGATTTAATGCAATTTCTGCTGTGTGATAAATTCCCTGACTGTTGCAGATATCTCTGAAAGGCCAAGGCTGATTTCTGTGTGTGGTGATGAGTGTAACTTTCCCTCTTCACTTTCTCAGGTCTGAGTGATCCACGTGAGAGAGGTAGATTTTTGCAGATGCAAAATTTCAATAAAAATAATTTCCATCACACAGAACCGAGGCATTGAGTAAATTAGAGATAAAAATGTGACCCTAAAGGTCCATTTTGAATAGCCACTAGAAAATAAAAGCTTTTCTTCCTCTTATGCTTGCAGTGCAACCATTCCTGTATTTTATTTTATTTTATGACACGCTTTAGTGGTTTGAACAATGTTATTATTATATATGGATTGAAGGGATGGAGATGAACATTCCCTTTTCCATCAGGAATTATGAATAATACCATGATTTTTACCTGCTCTTAGAGCTACAGAGAGCTCTCAGGTGGATGTCCACAATTAATTGACAGCATCAATGATGATCATTTTCTCCCCTTTAACTTCTCCTTACCTTAAGCTCTTTCCTTTTTCCTGCATCCTTCATTTGCCATCTTCAAAACCATTCCTTAAACAAGAGGCAACAGAAAAATCTTTAATCTCATGCATTTGCTGATTCTCCTTCCTCTTCCACTTCAGTCACTTCTGTAAGTTTTGATTTTAATTCTTTTCAACTTCATGAAACATTTATCTTGTAAAGGTAGCAATAAATAAGAACACTGAGGAAAAAAAAGGGGGATCTACTGTGTTTTAATCATCTAAGTCTGCAAACTGTAGCAGCATGAATTTTAAATTCCCCTTGGAGAATAGAATAAGAAATTGTTTAAAAGTTACGTTTTAGAGATTATTCCAAGCCTTTATATTATTCTTTATTATATTTATTATTTCTATCTGGCTGTTGCTGTATATGTATAACCATAATATTTATTAGAAATCCAAAGTATTTTCAACATAAGTAAGTTGAAAACTGACAAGATCATTGAAGCCCACGCTGGTTCTTTATTTTGTGGGGATGGAACACCGTCATTTTAGATATGTGTTAATTGTATTTGGAGATACTCTAAATAATCTTTACTGAAAGTTAAAAAATAATAAAAAAATTAGTTCTGGAAGGACTTACAGTGTCTTATTAGAAATATTTCTGTTAACCAGCACAAGTACAGAGTCAGCTAAGGAGGACTCCCAGAGGATGAACCCATGGATTCTGTGCAGAAGGGAATCACCAACATGAGGATTAAAGGAACCTGATGCAAGTAAATAATATGAGAAACCCTGGTTTTTGTTAATTTCAACAAAGCAGTCTCTTGGTGAACTGAGGATGAAGATTTAGAGCTGAAGGCTTCAATCTTACATCAAGCACTTATAAATATGCAGCGTGCCACAAAGACTGGAACTGCAGCGAGGAGGTGATAAAATGTATTTTGCACTGTTTTGTCCTCGTGTTATTGCACCTTGCTCAGCAGATAATTTATTATGCTAGCTCTTAGTAAATAATTGATGGAGAACTGATAACACAAAATTTACGGAATCTGGAGAGTGTTTTATTAGAACATTAATATGCTGCAGGTGTGTTTTATTGGTCAATTAACACACGCCTCGAGGTGTGGGGTGATAGATGAGGCTGCTGTGGGAGCTTTGGATGAGCAGGGTGGTAAAACACATCCTGGAGGGGCTTAATGGTGCTGGAAAGTGAGGAAAGATTGGACAGAAATTGCGCTGTGGTTTGGAGGTGCAGGCTAACTTTAAACAAGGAAGCAGGAGCTCTGGAAAGAGGCTAACAATAGCAGCTTTTATGTAAATTGATTTACTCTCTTATTTGGGAGAAACTATCTTAGGGCCAAGGTGGTTTCCATTAATTTCCCAGCTTTCCCAGCAAAGTTGTAAAAGTTAGTTTACCTCCCTCATACTTTATTTACAAGGCCATGTACAACACAAGCCCACTCGTTATCCTTGAGTGTTGCTCTTAATCAAGGAATGGTGGGAATATAGCCCAGACTTAGGCTGCTTTTTAAAACCCTTCTTTTAGCAATAGATTTCTTTATACCCAATAGATAAGTGTTTTGGGGGTGGACTGGGTTGTTTTTTTGCTGGTTGGATGGGGGGGGGTTGTTTGTTTGTTCGTTTTATGGCTTCAGGTCTTTATTTTTCCTTTGTTTACGTGACGCCTGCTCCTTTTCTCTACATTTTGGAAAGGCTTACACGGTATCCCTTGACTATCATTAGATTTCTCCTTTCTTCTCTCTTCTCTGGTTCTCGTTCTGTGTAGAGCAGAGGATCAGTAGCTCCAGGCTCCCTTTTTTGAGCAGAGTGGCTGCGAGGGAAGATGGAAAAGCGTTCCGCTCGATGTCTGCGCGCTCCGGGGTGAAACTCCCGTAACTACACGCAAAGGGCAGAGGGCTCTGAGAGCAGAGGGCTGTCAGCAACAGCTCAGTCCAAGAGTCCAGCTGACCCTGGAGAAATCAGCAGACACAACAGGCAGCAGCAAATGTTTGCAGGAAAAGTGTTAGAGCAGAGCAAACAGACAGAGATTTCTCTAGGTATGGCTTTTCAGATTTTTGTCTGCAGTTTTCTTCCCCAGAATATTACACCCACACCACTTTGCCTAACAGCACTTGAGGGAGTTCTCTTCCGTTTGTCTAAGAGGTTTTTAATCTTTCTGCCTATTAACATCCAACCTGTCCTTTTGGAAGGTATTCCATCATTTTAATTCTGAGTTTTGAAGGACAATTTTGATTTACGCCTTTGCTCTTTATGTTCAAGCTGCTGCCACATGCTCTCATCCCTCTGGATCTCGAGCTGCAAGGTGTGGTGGATTATCAATATACACTCATCCCATGTCCCCTCAGCTGTGTTCTTACCCATCCTGAAGAAGTCTCAGCTGTTTTCTGCTTCAAGCAAATTTTGTCACCTTATTTTTCCCTTCATTCTTTTCAAGTAGCTCATGAATATATTAAATACCTATGGAATGCTATGGAGTTTCTCTGTCAATTTTTAATCCCCCTAACAGGTTTGTCCTATTTCTTACCAGTTCAGTAGCACACAGGGGAAATTTTTACCTCATACTAAACGTGCCTTTATTGTGTATTATAAAGTAGTTGTGCACATTTTATCACGTGCACAAACCTTCTTTAGAGCTTTTGAAAAATTATTTTAGGCTTTAAAGGTGCTCTGCCTGTCTGCAATAATCCAGATGGGTTTTTGCTGTTTTGTTTTGGCCACCTTTGCCGTGTTCAGTGAGACCAAGTTGCCATGAGAATGGGCTGTACAGAGTCACCAAATGTTCTGAGCATTAAACATTGCTGCTTGCTGGGGTGGAAGAATGGAAACACCAAGAAATGTGGGTTTTTTTAATCTCTTACTCAGGAGGCAGCTCCCCAAATTCCTCTCTGATCTCTAGCAGAACAGGCAGCAGAGGGGGAAGGTTTATTTTGAAGCAAATCTCTTCCCTCAACTCCCGTTCAAATCAGCTGATTATCAAAATACAAGCCCTGAGTTTGCACCTACCTGCTCAAACCTGTTTTTTGCTGTACTGCAAAGGCAGATGGATTGCTTAGAAACATTATTTTTACTTCAGCAGGTGATTACCCAATTAAATGCTATACCTGATTAAATGCTGGAAAAAGTATTTAAGATCATTAGTGGTAACAAGACTGGCAGAAGCAAGGTAGCATGTAGAATAAAAAGAACCTGCTGCCTTCCCTCCCAGCCCTTCTGTGAAGAGACAAGTTGAAAATGAAGATTGTGAAAGGACCTGGACCAGTATCAAAAGCAGTGTGACTTGCAGAATTTCAAACCAATGGCAAAGGGCAACAAACAAAATGAGTTAATGGGAGCTGATTTCCCTTTGTTCAGGGGTCCAGGGCAGGAATGGCTCTGCTGGGACTGAAGTGCTCTCTTGTTCTACAGAACCAGGCTCTATACACGGAGATTTTCTCCTTTGTTTGTTCCTGCTCTGACCCAGGCTTGCTGAAATCAGTGGAATTATTTAGCAAAAAGGTTCTGAGTAGAAACCAGACGCCCAGGTCCTGGAGTTTGGAAGGAAATAGAACCTAAGCTGCTCCAGTGAATGAGAAGCTGAGTCCTTCTGAAAAACAAGTTGGTTTGAGAGAAAACAAATGCCTCAGGGTTTGATTGAATGTGGTTGTTGTGGACTGGAAGCCTGTGCTCCCCTCCTGAGCACACCTGGAGCTGCTGCTCTTCTCCTGCCAGTCTCAGCCTGACCCCAGGCATGAAGGCACATTCATTTATTTATTCATGCATGCATTTCTTTAGTTTTTGGCTATTTCTTGGGGTTTTTTTCGGAGATAGTTTTGATTGCACCTCTTCTGTCAGTGATCCAAAATCCGTGTGCTCGTGACCAGCAGTGGGGGAAGCTGCTCCCTCAAAGTCTTGTGTGATCTGCCCTCCCTGCAAAGGTTTCCTTATCATTGTGTGGCTGAAATTAGCAGTCTCCTGTGACTCATCTGAGTTGTTTAGCTCTTCAGGATCAAAGCTCTATTCAAACAAAAATTGTGCTCAGATGATTATTTAAACCTTTTTATATTTAATGGGGGTGATGATGTTTATGTGCCAAAACAAGGCACTGTACAAAGAAAAAACTTCTAGCAGGAAAAAGGATTTTTCTGCTGAACATTCATGAAAATCACCTTGTGACTGACTAACTTTTAAATGGGAAATATCGTTGATAATTTATTGGGCAGGCAAGAATCTTTTCTAGCTTTGCCAGAAAAGCCAGAAGGGAATGATGGGCAGGGGGCTTAGCAAGGGAATGTGATATCCAGACAAAAAATACCAGCACTGCTTTTGACTACAGATGAACCAAAGTTGTTTATAGAAAATACCTCTGAGAAAAAAGTTTTTTGAGAAAGACTGGTATTTTGGCTGTCAGATCTGCTTCAGGTCTAGTGATTATCAACATCTTAGCTGCTTCAATTCCCTGATGAGCTGGCTTGAGAACATGAGTTTTATAAATCAGCTCACAGAGCTGTTCTACAAAGCCCTGGTGATCAGCAATGCAGTGACCACGTTTATGGGAAGAAAAGACATCATTTCAGGGAATAATATGAGAATGTATCAACTCCACACATCTTGATTGCAGACTCTGCAGGTAGCCAAGGTTTCTGTGGCTTACTCCTTGACCTTCACCTTTGCTTTCACAGACTGCAAACTTCTCGGAGACGTGCATGGTGTGAACTGCATCTTAATGGCTGGAGTGCCTGATGGAGAGATTCCCTTCCATTCTTAATTGGGAGGGAGCTGGAGCTGTGTCATCCGGCTCCACAAAGATCTGCTGCTTCAGACCTGCAGTTGTGTAGCATCTCTGGGCAAAATAAGATGATTTATGACAAGGAAAGTTGGCTTTAGAGTGGATATTTACAATAGGATCTATAAATATTCCCACACTTTTGACAGATGTTAAGTTTTTCTATTTTTGCTTCATTTACTATTTTATCTCACATCTCTCTACCCTCTTTAGCCTGCAATAATTTTTTTCTACCAATCAATGAATGATAAATAGCAAGTTCAGCCCGTGGTGTGCTTTCCCAAGGACAGGGCATGGATGGGGTGGCAGATCCAGTGTGCCTTCAGCAGAGAAATCTCACGTGTGAGTGGAATTCTCTGCTTTTCCCTGCTCTGTGCCTGGGTATCTGTGTGAAGGCTGAAGGGTTTTCCCTTTTGATTTCCCCTCCTGTTGCTCCCACTCCCCTCTTTGTGGTGAGAAGGAGAAAAGGCCAAATTAAACTAAGCAGAATGATCTTCAGATCACCCAGGCAGTGTCAAGAGATAAACAAGGCCTTGTTATCTCCAGGCACCTGCAAAAGGAAGGGAGACAGGGACAGGATAGTTTGAGAGGGTAAGAGCTGCTCAGCTTTAGGCTGGTGGACCTGGTGAGCAGATTCTGCTCTCTGCTCATCCTAAAACCCATGGGATACACTGAAATCTGGGGAGATATTTTAGCGAACAAGCTTTAATCTCGTCTAAACTCATTGTTTACAAAAGCTAAATATAATCTCAGCCCTTCAGTATAAATGAAAGTGATATTTTTAAGGCTGAAAATAAAGGCAGGGCTAAAGGTATCTGTGGAGAAAGAAGCCACAAACCATTGGAAGTGAAAGGCAGGGGCAGGAATGGCATGAGAAAGTGATTTCAGTGAAGTGGTGCTGCCCTGCAAGGTTGGGACATGCTTTATAGGGAGGTGTGTTGGCAATTGTGGCTCTGCACAGCTGCTTCTCCTCCCAAAACCGCCAGAATAAGAGCGAGTAACCAGGATTTGGACTCTGCACTGCCACACAGAGCATGTTAGACCAAGATTTATTTTCAAAAGGAACAGAGATATCTCACCTCTTTCAGATTCTTGTACTATTACCAGAACCTGTATCAATAGCCAGGTTTCAGGTTTCTTGGCTGGTTTATTTGTACACAATGAATCAGCTTCAGATCTTTTGGCTTTGTTCTTCCAGCCCCTTCTTTGGCTCATCCTCCCTCAGAGGTACAAGGCCATATGTTAATTAGGCATCAGGCTAATGAACTTTGGCAATCTGCAAATTGCAGCTCTAAATCTACTTTAAACTGAACCGGAGTACATGGAATTGTCTCTTTTTTTAAAAAGCTCTCTTAAAAGACAACTCGCCCACCAAAATAGCAGAAATGTATTTCAAATGTTTGTTATGTTTGTGGTATTTTCTGCATGCAGGAGACTCATTTGTACCAAAACCAGAGGCAGTCATCATTAGATGTCAGAACAGCAATTCCTATCATTTTCCCATGGAATTCATTCCCATGATGAAAACTAAAGACAAAATTAAGCAAAACTCTGAACCAATCCTAATAGGATCTCCAGAGCTTAATGTTTCTTTATTTTCTCTTCTTTAGCCTGAAATACAAACAAATCACCTCACTCAAATGGTTGGTTTTCCTGATCTGGAAACCCAGTCAGAGGAACATTTGTAGATCTGAGGGAGTCTCTGAGCCCCTGTTTCCCAGTGTCACACAGTAATGTGAGAGCCAGCAGAGTGCTCTCAGGCCAGCTGGGATTTTTGCTGGGTGGAAATTTGGGGTTTATGAGCAGAAATGATCAATCCTTTGCCATTTGTGAGGGCCCTGGTACAGGACAAAGAGAGTCCCTGGCAGCAAAGGGCGACAGAGCCGTGGTGAATTATTGAAGCTAAGGGAACTTCAGTCCAGGTGTTTGTAGCTTGATCAAAAGCTCTTGTTTCTGAAGAGACCTGCGACTCCCAGGAGGGTCTGCCCCAAACCAGGGGAACATCAAACACAGACCTCTGCCAGGTATTATCAGACAACATCTTCTGTAGCCACAATTTTCTGTTTGGAACGTTGTGTACCTCTCCTGGCACCTGCTGTGATGGGAGAAAATGGGATTCCGTGTAATCCCAACTCGTGTGGCACAGACAATGGGATTACACAGCTCCTGGAGCCATGCTTCCTTGCTACCACAAATTACAAAAGAGCCCAGGGGCTAATCAGTTATCAAACTCCTGTGGAAACTGAGGAGAGAGGAAAGATGAAATAACAAAAGGATTTGTGCTGCTGTCAGGGTGATAAGCATTAGTACAATAATACCTAAATTCTCCCCTAATAAAAAAACATAGAACAGAATTTTTAAGGCTCTGAATTTTCCCTGCTAAGAGCAACTGCAGCATTCCCATTCAAGGAAAAATCCACAGCATTTTCAGTGGAAAATTACAACTGCCTCTCTTTTCCTGGGGAAAATCTGTTTTCTGGTTGTTTACTTAATTTGGAGTTCCAGAAAATATCTATCAACCTGTGTATCAGACAACCAGCTACCTTTAGTTCAATTATGTGTATCAGTCACTCAGGGCTGGGTGATATAAAGAGCTCAGGAAAATAAAACAAAGGTGGGCATCAGACTGGGAAAAACTTGGGAATTTTTTAGGTGGGTTGGGAGGAACTTGGTGCTGAAGACTGCGGGAGAGATGAGGCAGATGAGAAGTCAGTCCTTTTGAGATGCTGAGATCTCTTACAATGTGTTTAATGGGAGCTGAATACACAGAATTGGGCACCGAAAGATTTATTCACTGGGTTGTT